GTATTTGTGCCCTCCAAGTCCGGGCAGGAGGTGATGAGGTGGGCACAACCATACCCAGCTCCTGGACCCAGGAAGGGGGCAGCAGACCCTGACCTGTGCAGGGAGCCCCTGTTATTCCTGTCCCTAAGCAGGGAGCTCGGAATTCTGGGTCAGTTTCCTGAGTCCCAGCTCACCTCCAACAAAAGACAAGTGATTTTCCGTCCTGCCCTGGTTTCCCCACTTATGAGAATGCAGAGGACTGGAGGCGGCGTTTGAGGGGGCTGCCCTATCTTTTTCTTCCAAGCTATTACCTCAAGAAGCAGCGGGCTCTGCAGCTGAACTCAGGCTGGCGGGACCGGTCCAGCGGCCACAGCCGCCCTGCTCGCGCCCGCGTGGATCTCACTTTCTTCTGCCAGGCCGCGCGCCTCAGTGGCCTCTCCAGCGGCGAGCTGGCGCGCTCGCTACACAAAATGTACAAAGCGGGTGCACTCCCGACCGGGCGGGGGTGGGGACCAGAGGCGTGGAGCGGAGGCCCGCGAGAGGGGGCATTCTCTCAGTCACACTCGGCCTCTATCCCCACCTGTGACTCCCGGGGACCTGCTAGTAGGACTGTCTCCTCCTCTTCCTTCTCCCGGGGGCCTGCCCTGGGCACGCACAGTCCTTACTCTCAGATACCCAATCTGGCGGGGCGGACGCGGCCATTATGCAGGACGCGGAACCGAGCCCCATGCTCCGAAGTCCGCCTTCCTAAACCCTACCAGCCTGGACGCCCTAAGCTCCCGCCTAACCTAGGACCGATCTGCAGAGGTAAGTCCGTGAAGGCGGGGCATGTAAATAAGGGGCGGGGCATGCGAGGGCCGGCGGGGCGGGGCACCGGGAGCGGACCGAGACGGATGGGGCGTGGCCAGTGGGCTGGCGGTGGGGTAGGCAGTGAGCCATGCGGCACCCACTAAGATGTAAGCCAAGATCACTCCTCCGCGTAACCAAGATTAACACAAGAGCAAGGTTTAAGGGCCATGGGGCAGGTGTCTTGATCAGGCAAAAAGAAAGGGGACCAAGGTACCCAGCTAGAAGGCGGGCTGGTGGAAATGAGGCAGAGCAGATGGAAGGCGGATTTAAATGTTGCTTAACCAGCGAGTTTCTAACCAGAGCTGAGAGCCTGACACGCCACACGACCCTTCCGCCCTCCTACAGGGTTCGTAGGTCAGCATACGCGCTCCTCGAAGCTGATCCCCTCACCCCCCACTCTAGTGCAGAAGCAGCCCTTCTCCCCTTCGCCAGCCTGTCTGCAGAGACCTGCTATCAAGAGCTTGTATAAGTAAAGGGTTTGTTGAGCGTTAAGAGGTTCGCGTGGTGGGGACGTGCAATGGTCGAACGCCAATCTTTTGCAAACATCTTTATTATTCTTGTATAAAAATAAGGTCCATGGAAAGGCCTCAGGTCCTCCGGGCTGGGGGTTGAGGGGGGGAAGGTGCACTTCATAAGTTACAGGCCAGGCTCCTTCTGAGGCTAATTATGGCTATTTGGAGGAGGAGTGGCAAGGGCAGAGGTGCTGCAAGCAGCATTTGGAGGAAGGGGCTGGGGATGGTGCCCTCTATGGTGAAAGGAGGATGCTCCAGCCCATTTGAGGCTAGCCCATGGCGGTGGACAGAGGAGGAGGGGGCTACCCAGGGCTGCCCGGCCCTGCCGAGCAGAAGACCACCTTCCGTGAGTCCCAGCCTGCCCCGTCCCACACCCCTGCAGATTCCACCTGCAAAAATAGTTGCTACAGCGAGAGGTCAGAGGTGACCTGCAGAGGGGGTCCTGGAGGACGCCGACGAGCGCTTCTGCGGCCTGTGTCTGCGCGGATGTAGGGCTGGTTCCGAAGATCTGGCAGGCAGGAGAGACACATTTACCTTTCAGGAGGCTGCCCTGAGTTGGGATCACAGCCCAGGGCACAGGCGCACCCTTTAAGGACCCAGTGTGTACAGGTGGGAAGAAGCGCTTTGTTTCCCCGACCCTCTCAAATACATCCCAGCCATGAAGTGGCCCACACCAGGGCAGGACTCAGTCCCGACAGGGTCCCAGGGCTATGAGCACCACTGGAATCGGGCCAGGCCATCTGGGTACCTGAGGGGCTAGAGGGGCATCTCTTCTCCCAGACTGGCCTCACAGAGGAGCCGGGATGTCCGCTTGCCGGTGCGGGCCGTGAAGGGCACCGTCTTGAGCACTGAGGATGGGGGTTGGCAGGGTAGGGGGCAGGAAAGGAAAAAGGAAAGAAAAATAGAAAAAGTAGCAAAAGGCAGTGAAGAAGCCAGACCCCAGGGCAGTGCACGTGGACAGAGGACAGCATAGAGAGACAGACGGGGGACAGGATAGAGGCCTGGCCACGCCCTCACCTGTGATGATGTCTTCGATGGCCCCATCACGGTCACTCTCGTAAATGAGTGGCTCCTTCTGTTGCTTCCGTTTCAGCTCAGAGATAAGGTCCATCTGTTGTCGCCGGGCCTTGGGCGGGGACTAGGGAAGATGTACGCTTTAGTTCCAGGACCTCTATCCACCCCCCCAGCTTGAACATCAAATCTTAGAACATCCACCTGACCCCCCACAACAGACAGCTGGCTTGAGCAGAAGGAACCCCTCCCTATCCCAGGCTCTAGGGGCATCGGCCCCACCCTGGGCAGAGTCTGTCTGTAATAAATGAGAGCAGGCGTGGTGCCAGAGGGTAAAGGGGATACCATGCATCCGGCACCAAATTTAGGGGCAGCTGCCTACCTTGGGTGCTGAGGGCTCCCCTCTGCCAGAGGTGTCCAAGCCTGCCTCCTGGGCAGCTGCTTCTTTCTTCCACTGTTCCACCTCCTGCTCAGCTTTCTGAGGCCAAGGTGAGTCTCCATGAGGACAGTCCTCCCTCCCTCCCTACTCCACCCCTAGACAGAGACAGCCTCCACCTGCCCACTCCCATGTGGGAACTCTCCCATGCCCTGCAGGGCTCCCAGCCTTCCCCCAAGACACACACACCTTGTAGGCCTTGACGAAGCGGCTAAAGAGAGAAAAGAACAGGGATGGGGACGTGGTCTTGGGGTTCTCTCCGAAGTACTCCACCACGGACTCGTAGGCCTCCTGTGGGCACAGGCCATCAGCCCCATCAGCATAGACCCTGTGGGGCCCGGCCACTTCATCTCTGCTCCAACAGGCAGGAGCAGAGATGACCCATTGCTCCTGCTCCATGCATCCCCAGGGGTCCCAGCTGTGGCCTCAAGATCACTCTAATAGCAAGTATCCCTTATCCCCCTTTCCTAGCCTTCCCACTCTAGGGCTGGATTAGCCCCACCCACCTGAGCGGTCTTGCTGTCTGCCAGCAGCTTGTCCATAGTGGGCGAGTTGGCCCTCAGGAACTCCTTGAGCACCAGGCAGTCATCCTGCCGCACAAACTCCCTTTGCGTCAACTCCAGGCCTCGCTGCAGGGAGCGTACGTCCCCCAGGACACTGTCCAGGGACACTGATGGGGGTGGACAGTATAAGTCAGGGCATCAGGCAGCACTTCTACCCCATGACACCTTGCTTGGCCCCTTTGCTTCCTCTCGACCTACATGAACCTAGTGGCCCCAGTGCTTCATTCTCCCTGCTGCCCAAGGAACTAGACATCCCCACCTGAGCCTGCCTTGTCCAGAAAGTGCAGCTCGCTGTGGAAGCCTGTGAGCTGGGGGTACTTCTCAGCAATGACCTTCACCAGGTAGTGCAGCAGTGTCTGCTTGCGGTCAGTCGACTTCATCTCTAACAACTGCACAAAGACCTGTCGTAAGCCACATGCCACCAGCCAGCCCCTATTCCCCAGGCCAGGGGCCCCTCCTCACCACATCCAGACTCTGGAGCCGGAAACCATAGGCTGCACCACGCTTGCTGCTGTTCATGTAGTTACCAAAGGCCAGGACGATCTGGGGGAGGCCGGGGAGAGACACTTAGCAGGGTGCTGGGGCTGAGGCAACCCCAAAGGCAACCCCAGACTGTGCTTCCAACATCCCCTCTTAGGCTTTCTAACAGCCATTTCTATTAGTTCCAGACTCTTCCCCGAGTAGGTGGTTGCTCTGCGGCTAGTGCTGAAACTCTAGGGGGGCCAAGCCCTGGGCTGGGCCTCGGGTGGCTATTACAGCCTTGGCTGCTACACCTAATTCCTGCCTCCACACCCCATCCCGCTTAGCACATATGGGAGAAGAGGGAATATCTTTGCTGCAATCCAGGTGGGCAGGGCCTGAGTATCCCTCTCAGACACCCCAGAACAGGCAAGTGTGGGCCCCGTTTCCATTCCCCTGGACTCTCACCTCCAGGATCTGGCGGAGTTTGTCAGAGGACTTGATGGACATTGAGGCTGCGATGATGGCATTCAGTTGCTGGGGGTGGGATGGGAGAGGTGAGATAAGTTAGAGCCTCCCTGTCAGGCTCAGGTACTCCCAGATATCTTCTGGGAGTCCAAGCTGGGAGCTGCCTGTCCCACCCCAACGCAGGCCACACCACCCTGCCCGTCCCGCCCACACCGGCATGAGCAGCTGGGCCGTGTCCGGGAAGTTGCCCAGAAAGGTGAGCGTGGCCATGCGCTCGGGTAGGCGTGGGATGCGGCTGAAGCGCAGCATGAAGCGATCCTCCTCCGACAGCTCCTCCATAGGCCGCTGCTCCTGCTCGAAGCGGGATATAAGGCTGCGCTCATAGTCCGTGGGCAGGAAGCGGGTCAACAGCTCCAGGAAGTCCACGCCAAGAGCCTGCAGGTCATACCTGGGTGGGGGCGAGTAGGTATCAGCCCACACTCAGCGGTTCCTGAAGGCAGGACTCTCCCCTCCCCCCACTCAACTGAATAAACTTCAGGATTTTCGATTTGCTGACAGCTTCAAAGAATAAGAGGTAGGGGTCAGGGGAAAAGGGGAACTGGCCAGCTCCCCATCATACATCAGTGGTAGATGCCCTGCGAGATGAGCAGATTTCAAAAGGTTCACTGAAAAATGGAATTAAAGTACAAGTTTATCTGGGGACCGGCAGGTGGCACAGTGGTTAAGGTTAGCTCCCACAGGGCTGACTTCACAGTTTGAGTCCCGGACCCAGTGGCTTGGAAACCACACCGGGTGTGTGTGTGCATAACCAAAATCCCAAGAGGAGAATGAGGGAAAAGAAATTGTGGAGTGGCCATCCCCCTGGGGGGTGATTTCTCACTTTCTCTCCCTCTCTGGAGAGTGCACACACCCTATAGCAAAAAATGTAAAAAATAAAAGTTTATCTGGGTGCAAAAAATTTTTGAAACCATGTATATTTTTTTCATAATATGCTTTTTCATATACTTTTGAAGATCCCTCATAAATCCACAGCCTGAGGTCCCACAACTGGGCAGAGGCAAGAGGAAGTGAAGACGTCCCAATCTGGGCATGGACTTACAGGAGAGCCTGTTTCCACAGCCTGAAAATGGGACAAAGTTCCCTGCCCAGGGTTGGTATGAGGCTCTATGGGATCTGTCCCACAATTGGGGCTCTTTCGTTAGGACCTGCCTGAGAAGCCCAGTCTAGCAGAGGGGCTGGGCTGCCCACAAGCTGAGAACAGGGGCACTCACGTCTCGATGGACTGGCAGATACGGTCAGCCCCCAGGTTGCCCTTGCGCAAGGTGATGGCCAGGTTTTTGGCACGGTTGGCCTCGATGAGTGTTGCTTTGCTAGGGGCCTTCTGGGCTGTCTTCCCCTTGAGAGCACTGAGGTCCAGGCTAGGGCCTTGGGACTTGGTCTTGAACTGTTCTTCAAAGTCACTCATGTCCAGCTCCTGAAGGCATAGGGGGGAGGAGCTGGGGCTGGGCAGGACTAAGGTCTGGCACACTCCTGGCTGAGTACTGTGCCCTGAGCTAGAAGCACCATTTCTGGCCCTGACCAGGCCATCAGCAGTAAAATAAAACCAGTAAGCTATGTAGATCACAAGCCCTACAGGAAGCCTGAAGGAGAACCCAGGGAGTCACTAAAGCTGAAGGAAGGGCTGATTTGGCCAACTGTAAAATGATGAAGGGGGGACCAGCACTTGGCGTAATGCCTCTGTTGCTGGACTCCCATGTAGTTGACCACGGTTCAAGTCCCGGACCCAGTGGCTTAAACTCACACCGAGCACATGTGTGTGCATGGCCAAGATCCCAAGAGAAGAATGGAGAAGGGATTGCGGCAAAAACCTCCCCCCCCCAAAAAAAAAGAGTGGAAAGAGCATTCTAGGCAGGGGGACAGTATAAGCAAAAGCCTGGAGGCAAGAGGAGAACACCCCTTTTGGAAAAAGGAAAGTGGACTCAGGTCTAAGGCCCTGTTGTCTGTAGGAAAACGTGAGAAACGCTGAAAGGAGAGACCAGACTTGGGAGAGGTGCACCCCTCTGCAGGGATGAGGGAAAAGCCTCCAGAGGACACCGTCTCTAGATGCACCAATCCAGTTCCGCTTAATACCTCTCCCTGAGCCTGCACCTCCTCGCCGGCAAAACTGAGTGGTGATGACCCCCAGTGCCCAGCATGACCTGTGCAATCCTCTCTTCTGGCGTCCCCACTGGGAGCAAGGCAGCGCCACACTTACCTGCAGCACCTTCTCGTCATTGAGCTCTGTGAAGACTGTGCCTGTGATCTGGCTGGGTTTTAAGGCCACCCAGTTCAAGAGTGGCATCCGGAACTTGGTCTGGATGGGTTTCTTGGCTTTCACTCCTGGGACAAGGAGGGAGGACTAAGTTCTGAGGGCGCTGAAGGGCTTTGGGGCCCAGTGAGACTCACAGGGCAGGCAAGGAGGCAGTAGGAGACCCCCAGATAGAGGGTACTGGAGCCTGCTGAGGCCAGGCCCCGCCCTCCGTCTCCCCCTAGGTCGGGGCAGTCCGCTCCACTCACCTGGGCCCATCTCTGGGCCCGGCCCTCCAAGGGCATTAGGGGGACCTCCGGGAGGTGGTGGGGGCGGCGGAGGCACAGGCCCATCCGTGCCAGGTGGCGGCGGTGGCGGTGGTGGCGGCGGCGGTGGGGGAGGCAGGTCTCCAGGCAACG